CAAAATATCAACTAATCCTTCCCAGAATTAGTAAAAAAAAAAAAAAAAAAAAAAAAACCCAAAATTCATATGGAACCAAAAAAAAAGAGCCCAAATAGCCAAAGCAATCCTAAACAACAAAACAAATCTGAATGCATCATCTGACCTGATTTCAAATTATACTATAATGCTATAGTTACCAAAACAGCATGGTACTGTACAAAATTAAACACATAGAACAATGGAACAGAATAGAGAACCCAGAAATAAAGCTAAATATCTGTAGCTAATGGATCTTTGACAAAACATATGAAACTATAAATTGAGGAAAACACACCTTATTTAATAAATGATGCTGGAAAAACTGAATAGCAATATATAGAAGAATGAAACTGGGTCCCTATCTTATACCTTATAAAAAAATTAACTCAAGGTGGATTAAAGACTTACATTGAAGATCTGAAATAATACAAATTCTAGAGGATAACCTAGGAAAAACTCTTCTGGACATTGGCCTATGCAAAGAATTTATGACTAACACCCCAAAAGCAAATGTAACAAACAAAAATACAAAAATAAATAGGGTCTAATTAAACCAAAAAGCTCTGTATAGAAAAACAAATAATTACCAGAGCTAAACAACCCACAGAATGGGAGAAAACATTTGCAAGCTATCCATCCCAAAGGACTAATATCCAAAATCTACAAAGAACTCAAACAAATCAGCAAGAAAAAAACAAGCCCATTGGCAGATGACATGAATGGATATTTCTCAAAAGAAGATGTACAAACATGAAAAAATACTCAGCATCACTAGTCATCAGTGAAATGGAAATTAAAACCACAGTGAGATACCATTTTACCCTCACCAGAATGGCTATTATTAAAAAATAAAAAAACAACAGATGTTGGCATGGATGTGGTGAAAAGGGAAGCATTCACTGTGGGTAGGAATGTAAATTAGGCCAACCTTTACAGAAAACAGTGTGGAAATTTCTTAAAGAACTAAAAGTAGAACCACTTTTCAATTCAGGAATCCCATTACTGAGTATCTACCTAAAAGGAAAGAAGTCATTATGTAAAAAAGACACCTGAAAATGTATGCTTATTACAGCACAATTTGCAATTGCAAAGTTATGGGACCAATCTAAGTGCCCATCGACTAATGAGTGGATAAAGAAAATGTGGTATATATACACCATGGAATACTACTCAACCATAAAATGAATAAAATAATGTATTTTGCAGCAACTTGAATGAAGCTGGAGGCCTTTATTCTAAATGAAGTAACTCAGAAATGGAAAACCAAATATTGTATGTCCTCACAAGCGGGAGCTCAACTATGTTTTTTAAAATTTTTATTTTATTTTATTTTTGAGATGGAGTTTTGCTCTGTCATCCAGGCTGGAGTGCAGTAGCTCAATCTTGGCTCACTGCAACTTCTGCCTCCTGGGTTCAAGCAATTCTCTTGTCTCAGTCTCCCGAGTACCTGGGACTACAGTCGTGTGCCACCACGCCTGGCTAATTTCTGTATTTTTAGTAGAGATGGGGTTTCACCACATTGGTCAGGCTCAAACTCCTGACCTCAGGTGATCCACTCGCCTTAGCCTCCCCAAGTCCTGGGATTACAGATGTGAGCCACTGCACCTGGCCTGGAGCTCAACTATGTGCAAAGGCAAACAGAGTGGTATAATGGACTTTGGAGACTCAGAAGTGGGAGCGTGAGAAGAGGTAAGAAATAAAAAATGACATATTTGTTACAACGTACACTGCTTGGGTGACAGGTGAACTAAAACCTCAGACTTCCCCACTATGCTATTCATTTACATGATAAAAAACAACTTACTATCCAAAAGCTATTGAAAAAAAAATTTAAAAAAAGAAATAAACCTATTTTAAAACAAAAAAGAAAACTCTCAGAGTTGCTGTTTATAGTTATTTACAACCACTTTCAAGGAAATGTTTTGAAAAAAATAATGAGTTGATACGCATTGTGCAACACTACCCTTCACCCAATATTGCACTGATTGAGAAGTTAAGTATATACTATTATTATGTATGTTGTGCAGATAAGGATATCGAAGCACAGAAAGGTTAAGTAAGTTGCTCAAAATCACAGACTTAGCAAGGCCTAGGGCCAAAATCACTCTTAATTTCAGTACCCTACTTTCTTATTGATTAATAACAAAGTTACTGATTGAGAAAAATATAAAATTTTAAGAAAAAAAGAAAGAAAAATGAGAGGATTTATTGGATAGAGTAGAACTCAAACACTTTTATTTAATTTGCTAAGCCAGAAATTAGGCAAATCAATACTATGTATGAATGTAAACATCAACAAATTCTTAAAATCTTTTTTTTTTTTTTCCCCTACAGGGATAGCCCACAGCTATTCCACGGATGGGCACATTTGGAAGTTTGGTTCTAAAACCTAAAAGAAGAAATTTAGGAATAGGAACAGCTCCAGCCTCCAGCTCCCAGTGTGAGTGACACAGAAGACGGGTGATTTCTGCATTTTCAACTGAGGTACCAGGTTCATCTCACTGGGAAGTGTTGGACAGTCTGTGCTGGTCAGTGGGTGCAGCCCAACCAGTGAGAGCTGAAGTAGTCCCAGGCATTGCCTCACCTGGGAAGTGCAATGGGGAAGGGAATTCCCTTTCCTAGCCAAGGGAAACTGAGACACACAATACCTGGAAAGTTGGGTAACTCCCACCCTAATACTGTGCTTGAGAGAAGAAGACTTCAGTCGATCAAACGTCTCAGAGCTAAAGGAGGAACTACGTACCCAGTGCAAAGAAACTAAAAACCTTGAAAAAAGAATGGAAGAATGGGTAACTAGAATAATCAATGCAGAGAAGTCCATAAATGAACTGAGAGAGATGAAAACCATGATACGAGAACTACATGAAAAATGCACAAGCTTCAGTAACTGACTTGATCAACTGGAAGAAAGAGTATCAGTGATTGAAGATCAAATAGATGAAGTGAGAAGAGAAGTTTAGGGAAAAAAGAGCAAAAAGAAATGAACAAAGCCTCCAAGAAATATTGGATTATGTGAAAAGACCAAATTTACGTCTGATTGGTGTGCCTCAAAGTGATGGGGAGAATGGAACCAAGTTGGAAAACACTCTGCAGGATATCATCCAGGAGAACTTCCCCAACCTAGCAAGGTAGGCCAACATTAAAATTCAGGAAATACAGAGAACACGGCAAAGACACTCTTCAAGAAGAGCAACTCCAAGACACATAATTGGCAGATTCACCAAAGTTGAAATGAAGGAAAAAATGTTAAGGGCAGCCAGAGAGGAAGGTCGGGTTACCCACAAAGGGAAGCCCATCAGACTAGCCATAATTAGAAAGCTGAAACTGGGTCCTTTTCTTACTCCTGATACAAAAATTAATTCAAGATGGATTAGAGACTTAAATGTTAGACCTAAAACCAGAAAAACCCTAGAAGAAAACTTAGCTAATACCATTCAGGACATAGGCATGGGCAAGGACTTCATGTCTAAAGCACCAAAAGCAACGGCAACAAAAGCCAAAATTGACAAATGGGATCTAATTAAACTAAAGAGCTTCTGCACAGCAAAAGAAGCTACCATCAGAGTCAACAGGCAACCTACAGAATGGGAGAAAATTTTTGCAATCTTCTCATCTGACAAAGGGCTAATATCCAGAACCTACAAAGAACTCAAACAAATTTACAAGAAAAAAACAAACAACCCCATTAAAAAGTGGGCAAAGGATATGAACAGACACCTCTCAAAAGAAGACATTTATATAGCAAACAGACACATGAAAAAATGCTCATCACTCACCATCAGAGAAATGCAAATCAAAACCACAATGAGATACCATCTCACACCAGTTACAATGATGATTATTAAAAAGTCAAGAAACAACAGGTGCTGGAGATGATGTGGAGAAATTGGAACACTTTTATACTGTTGGTGAGACTGTAAACTAGTTCAACCATTGTGGAAAATGGTGTGGCGATACCTCAAGGATCTAGAACTAGAAATACCATTTGACCCAGCCATCCCATTACTGGGTATATACCCAAAGGATTATAAATCATACTGCTATAAAGACACATGCACACATATGTTTATTGTGGCACTATTCACAATAGTAAAGACTTGGAACCAACCCAAATGCCCATCAAGGACAGACTGGATTAAGAAAATGTGACACATATACACCATGGAATACTATGCAGCCATAAAAAAGGATGAGTTTTTGTCCTTTGTAGGGACATGGATGCAGCTGGAAACCATCAATTTCAGCAAACTATTGCAAGAACAACAACAAAAAAAAAACCAGCACTGCATGTTCTCACTCATAGGTGGGAATTGAACAATGAGATCACTTGGACACAGGAAGGGGAACATCACACATCGGGGCCTATTGTGGGGAGTCGGGAGGGGGAGGAATAGCATTAGGAGATATACCTAATGTAAATGACGAGTTAATGGGTGCAGCATATCAACATGGCACATGAATACATATGTAACAAACCTGCATGTTGTGCACATGTACCCTAGAACTTACAGTATAATTAAAAAAAAGAAAAAGAAAAAGAAAAACAAGCAGAGAAACAAAAATTGATACAGAAAAAAATGTCAGGCTTATGCACTAAATTATCCATAATTAGTTTAATTATGAATGGTCTATCAAGAGACAGATAATAGAAGAGTGTATTTAAAAGTATAAGCCTCCTTTCGTATATGTTCTTTTGTGATGCTACTTTAAAAGAAACCTCACTTGAAAATTTACCAATCCAGGAGACAGGCCCAAATTAAAACCGATTGAAAAAGATATATTGACACAAAACTTAAGCAAAAGAAAGCAAGAGTGGCTTGTTATGTATATCCAGTATTATTGATATTAAGCAAAGAAAATTTAGACCCAGAAAACCAGAGAAGAATTAGTAATGATCAAGGATTAATCTGCTGAAAAGAAAACGCAATTTAAAATGTATTCACCAAACCAACAGAGCTTCAAAATATGTTAGAAGAAAAATGCAAGAAATAAAGCGGGTCGGCCTCGGACCTGCGCTCCCTCAGGGAAATCGTAAAAGTTAAACAAGGAGGACTGCGGGCGGGGGGGAATAGGGCCGCAAGCATTGGGCTCTGTTGGAGGCCTATCCGCGGAGAGTGCCCCCGATCTCAGCAAGCACCGCAGCCCATGCCTGCATGGTCTATATCTCCAGGTTGGTTGCCCCCTGCACGATATCGAAATATAACCAGAAACCAAAGCCTCCCACGGTTCCATCCAACAGTTTGTTAGCGGGCCGGGTTTACGCGTGAATCCCAGAACGCAGTTTGGTCTATGGAGGAGCCCGGCGCTAACCCTAAGCCATTTTGGAATTGGTCCTGGAGAAGCTAGGCAGGTTGGCAGCAAAACTACCTGCAAGTAGGAAGACCAGATTCGACACCCCTTATAAATATTTCCCATGGAAAATTGAGTAGTATCGTGCAGCGTTGTTGGATTATTTGCCCGGGTTCCCCTCATTTCTGGGAAATTTTAGATCGGATAGGAGTCCGCCTTTTTATGTGGAAGATAAAAATACTTGCTGCAACGCTTCTGACTATTGAGAAAAAGTAAACCTACTTGAAAAATTTACCTATTCAAAAAATACGAAACTATAAAGTAGAGGGGGTCCATCCTTAAGGGGTGTTCCTTTGAGAAGGCGCCGCAGAAGCCACGAGTTTGAGGCAACCTGTGAAAAGCCTTGAAACAGGTTCATTCTCCAACTTGAAGGATGAAATCCTCATGTCTAGAAAAAGAGTAAAAAATAGAAATCCTAACATTCTCAACAAGAGAATGAGTGGCGGATTTTCAAAAAATACAGTCTGTACAAGAATCAAATCTCTCAACACTAAAACTGAAGCCAATCATTTCAAGTTATTCAATGAATGAAGAAACGATGGAGATAGCAATAAAGATGCTTTGAGTGAAATTCATCACTTCAGGAAGTCAGAAGCAGCTTTCAAGAGTGAAGATGGAAGGAACAAGGTGAGTGAGCCGTAATAAACAAGAAAGTAACAACTTCAAAGACATCTCCCAAAGTAACGCAGAAACAAGTTCTAAATGAAAAAAGAAATCCCCATAAAAGAACTCTGACTGGGGATGCTGATCAATGCCGAAGAATGAAAGATTGGACGCTGTGCCTTGAGAGAAATAACGGATGAAGAAACTTGATTAGAAGGAATGAGGAAACCAGAAAATGATGGCTTACTCAGATCGATCTCCAAAAGGCTTTGAGAAACTGATATCATAGCTGCTAAGTTAAATGTTTCTTAAAACCTTAGAAGAGAAAAGAAACCACATTATTATTCATTATCTGGAAGTTGAACAAAACAAAGGATGAGCTTCAGATCAATATTAAAAACTTCAGATTCACAAGCCCATCGTTGCAGTCAGAAAACATGTGTTTTGAAAGTGAGAATCAGAAACTTCAACGGAAACTTAAAATAATGACTGAATTATATCAAGAAAATGAAATGAAACTCCACAAGAAATTGACAGTAGAGGAAAATTACCAGATACAGGAAGAAGAGAAACTTTCTAAAGTGGAAAAAAAGATCAGCCATACCATTGAAGGGCTGGAGACCTATAGAAAGCTAGCCAAAGATCGTGAAGTAGAATTGGAGAGAACTATTAATTTTTATCAAAGGCAGGTTATTTCCTATGAGAGAAAAGGACATGATAATTGGTTGGTAGCTCGGACTGCTGAAAGAAACCTCAGTGATTTAAGGAAAGAAAATGCTAACAACAGACAAAAATTAACTGAAACAGGGTTTAAATTTGCACTTTTAGAAAAAGATCGTTCTGCACCTGATGTTTCAAATACAGCATTTGACAGAGAGCATTCCCCATATGGTCCCTCACCATTGGGTCGGCCTTCATCTGAAACGAGAGCGTTTCTCTCTCCTCAAACTTTGTTGGAGGGTCCACTCAGCCTCTCACCTGTGCTTCCGGGGAGAGGAAGAAGAGGCCCAAGAGGCCCAGGGAATCCTCTGGACCATCAGATTACCAATGAAAGAGGAGAACCAAGCTGTGATACATTAACTGATCCTCACAGGGCTCCTTCTGATACTGGGCCCCTGTCATCTCCATGGGATCAGGAACGAAGGATGATATTTCCTCCATCAGGACAATCATATCCTGATTCAGGTCTTCCTCCACAAAGGGAAGACAGATTTTATTCTAATTCTGATAGACTGTCTGGGCCAGCAGAACTCAGAAGTTTTAATATGCCTTCTTTGGATAAAATGGATGGGTTAATGCCTTCAGAAATGGAATCCAGCAGAAATGATGCCAAAGATGATCTTGGTGATTTAAATATGCCTGATTCATCTCTCCCTGCTGAAAATGAAGCAACTGGCACCGGCTTTGTGCCTCCACCTCTAGCTCCAATCAGAAGTCCATTGTTTCCAGTGAATACAAGGGGCCCGTTCATGAGAAGAGGACATCCTTTCCCCCCACCTCCTCCAGGAACCATGTTTGGAGCATCTCGAGGTTACTATCCACCAGCGGATTTCCCAGGTCCACCACATGCTCCATTTGCAGTGAGAAACATCTGTCCACCGAGGGGTTTTCCTCCTTACCTTCACCCAAGACCTGGATTTTTACCCCATCCTCACATTCTGAAGGTAGAAGCGAGTTCCCTTCAGGGTTGATTCTGCCTTCAAAGGAGCCTGCTACTGAACATCCAGAACCACAGCAAGAAACCTGACAATATTTTTGCTCTATTCAAAAGTAATTTAGACTGATGTCATTTTCAGTTTAAGTAACTGCTGTTACTTAAGTGATTACACTTTTCTCAAATTGAAGTTTAATGGAGTTCTTAGTATAGTATTTTATAAATAAAGATTATTTAAACACAAAAGAAATTTAAGTGTGCTGAAGATAACTGCAACTCCAAACCTAACGCTGTGTAGTTCTATGTTTTGCCATCTCGAAGCAAAGTGGAACCAGAAATGAGAGGTAATGGTTTGTGAATCAGTTGTCCTCTTTTTTATTGTCTGGTGAATCTGCTGATATATAGGCACTAACAAAATTAGCAGGCTAAATTTATCCCTTATGTGTACATTTGGTAAATGTGAAGCCAGTGTAGAAAGTAATGTATAATTTCTAAACTTGTAGCCCAACTGCCAATGTTATAAAACTTATTCCTGGGCTACAAAAAACAAAACAAAACAAAACAAAAAACAAAAAACCACACATACAAAAACACAAAAAAACCTAGCTTGTAAGAAATGGAAGCTCATCATTCACTAAGGAAAACCCATTCTATTTTGTTTTCTGTGTTTAAAAAGCAATACATTTACTTTAGTATAACTACAAAAAATTATTTTTCCAAGAGCAAAAAAGTTAGAATATTTTCCTTAATTTTCAATGTGGCAACTACACTGAAAAGGTATAAAAAGGGAAGGGACTGTAATAATTCTTTCTGGAAATGTATTTACTTTAGGTTCTCAAAAATACCCTCAAACTTTACCATGGCTTTTTACATATTTTAAAATACCAGCTTTTCAAGGTCCTGTCTAGCACTAACATTGTTTTATGAAGTTGTTAAGTAATGAGAAAATAATTTTTGAAGAAGAATATAATTAATATACCTCTTACTCAAGCATTTAAAAAAGTAATAGATGTAGTAGTATACAGGCTTTTAAAAAATTTATTTAATACATCTAGTAAAATAAACTTATTTTTAACATTTATATCTGAACATGTGGTATGTGTTTTCTAGCTGGAAGTATGGGTGGAGTTTAGAAAAGGAATGAGGAAGATAAGTTTATCTGGAGTTGACATATGAAACCCAAACTAGGCAGATTTTGTGGGAGCAACCTGCAGATTAGTGGCACCTACGAAAAGCACAGGGCACTGCAGTGTGCTTCCCAGGTTCTAAGTCTCCCCTGGTGGGTTTACAGTCAGAACAAGGGTAGCCTCATCCTGCATAGGTACATTAGACTCTTTAGATGTTATGCCTGATTTTACCAAGCGCAGTGCAGAAATTGAGAATAATCTATTATTATATAATTCAGGAAAGAATAGGACACATTGAAAGACATCAATATGGCACAGAGGAAAAATGAAGCAAGGTACACATTCATAAATTGACATGCATTTGAGATAACTGTATTCACTTAATCAAAACCCCAAAGATATTTCCCTGAAAGTCAATAGGTCCCTTTGCAAAAATTATACCAGTGAGAAAATTACGGCAATGAAAGAGAACTGATCTAATCCACCTCCCCCATCTTGCCTTTCCCCTAATCATTCCTGGGCTTAGGCTAAGCTGTCTTTGAGAGATATTTAATTTATAGTTTTAAATGGGAATGGGCCTTCCCCAAGAACTCAATGGTCTTTGCCAAACGAATGAAAGACCATCAGTTTAGGGGAAAGAGAGGAGCCTGATTCTGCTAAGGCACAGGAACAGATTGTCAACCATTCCTGCAGGTAACACCACTATTGTATATTGGCCTTTGAGATTTTTTTTTCAGTTTTTTGGTTTTTTTTTTTTCATGTCTGACACCTATGGCTCCACTGGACCCCATGGCTCTACCTGGACCCTCCAATCCTGTCCCTGTCGCCCCACCCCCACCCAGAAACAATTTAGCCCACAGGAGGACAGCTTTGACCCCCTAAAATTTCATCTCTGCCCCAACCAATCAGCAGCAAGCCTAGCCACTGGCACTCCTTTCCCCAAAATGCCTTTGAAAAACTCCTAACCTATGAGCATTGGGTAGACTGATTTGAGTACTAACTCAATCTCCCCCGTGGCATGGCTGGCCTCATGTCTATTAAACTCCTTTTTTTACCGTAATACCATTGTCTTTCTTTGAGCAGCAGGCAGGAAGAACCCCTCAGGCAGTTACAGTAAAGTCACATGCATTTGAGATAGCTATATTCATTTCACAAAAACCCCAGAGCTATTTCTCTGCAAGTCAATAGGTCCATTTTGCATATGACAGGCAAAACAGAACAAAGACATGCTTCTTAAACATATAAATCCTGTGAGCTCTTCTCCCACCTGTGTATATGAGTTACGAATTTGGGTGACCTTAGGGAAGGAAACTTAGTCTCTCTTGGGAATAGAATGCATTTCGGAAGATGATGTGGTGGTGGCTTAATTGCTCTAAGGCAGCTGTTTTGATAGGGCTGTTTGGAAGCCATTCTGACCTGGCAGCCCTGATACTGTTGGGACATCCTAACACAGCTTGAAAAAAAACAACTCACCAAATCTTGCTAGTTCTTTTTATAATTACCAAGAAATAGTGAAACAACTACACTCACCCCATCTCTGATTTGCATCGCAGGCTCCCACCTCTGAGGATTCAAGAATGGATGTAGCAAGGCTTAGAACGGGGGCAAAATGTCACATGGGTGAGGCATATTTATTTTGTACATTACTTGAATTAAGAAAAACACACACAATTTTTGCTTTATGATAAGGCTTTGTAAAAATGGCCTCTGCACCAAACCAAATCTGTTTTTTGCACCATCATAAAATCTCCATCTTCAAGTAAATATATGGCTCTCTGCAAGAAAGGAAGAACTCTCTACTTTGTCTTGCCATGTACAAGATGAATAGATTTTAGAGGGTCCCAACAGTTATACTTGTGAGTTTTCGCTTCCTCTTGTGGAATGTTTCCTTTGAAACAAAAAAGTGCGTTATAGCTTTAGACCGAAGGGCTGTAATCTGATTAAGTAGGTGGTAAAGACTGCCATGAGAGAAGCATAAAAAATTGTGGGGCAATATTCTTTTTTTTTTTCTTTTTTTGGCTGTGCAACGTACTCCATCCCTGGATTACTGAGAAAATCGAGCAGCCTGTCTCCACGGAAATAAAATATTTTCTTCAAGTTATAGCTTTTTAAATCTCAATTTTCTATAAGAAATATTATTAAAGTCAGAGATTAATATAAAAATACTTCAGTACCAATTCAAAGAGATAAAGCAAGCATTTATCATTCTGATATTGAGGATTAATAAAAAGAACAAATATTTAAGTTCATATGTATATCAAACTATACAGTGATTTTTTTTCCTCCATTTTGGTCCTGCCAGTTATATGTTGGGAATGTTGCATATCAAAGTTAGTGACAAAAATGAGAGTATAATTATGTCAAAATTTCACACGAGAGCTAAATTATAATTAGTACATAAAAATCTTGTCTCTAGTATAATTTAAAGTCTTTCATTTTCACCCATATGTTTGGAAACATGTACCTGCTAGGCTTGGAGTGTTCGGATTTCAGTTGATAGAGACTGGAGAATATAGCCAGCAACTTTCTGTCCTACAGGTCGTGTATGTTCCGTTTGAATACAGATTCTACACTCTCCTCCATCCTCCCTGCCTCTCAAAATTTCGTTGTCTTTTACAGGACTATTTCTAGGTCGTGTTATGGTTACCCTGACCCCAGGCACTCCCTATGCTGGTCCATCCAAACCCAGAGCCATGATCAAGGCCCTTCTACAACACAGATCTGATTACTTCACTCTCTTTTGTGGGGTAAATATAAGACAAGAGCTAGGCAAGTGCACTGTGGAGGAGGGGAGAATGCAAGCAGAAAAAAGGAAGCCCACTGGGCACAGTGGCTCATGCCTGCAATCCCAGCAGTTTGGGAGGCCAAGGCGGGCAGATCACGAGGTCAAGAGATCAAGACCCTCCTGGCCAACATGGTGAAACCCCATCTCTACTAAAAATACAAAAATTAGCTGAGCGTGGTGGCACATGCCTGTAGTCCCTGCAGCACCTGTAGCTACTTGGGAGGCTGAGGCGGGAGAATCACTTGAATCCGGGGGCAGGGGTTGCAGTGAGCTGAGATCGTCCCACTGCAGCACTCCGGCTGGACGAGAGATAAAGACTCTGTCTCAAAAAAAAAAAAAAAAAAAAAAAAAAAAGGCGTAGGAGACATGTACAAACTTGTAGGCATTTGAGAAAATATGTTCATTTGACTAAAACCAGAAATACATAACTCGGAAAATGTAAAATACAGATGAAAAAATGAAAGCAATCATCTTCTTAAACTTATGCAGATCTTAAACTCATTTCTCTGGCTTTAAAAGAAGAACATCAGTCTGGAGAAGCTAATGGTATGGTGTATCGGAGGCCTTGTTGGGAAAACTCTTAATTGCCTACAGGTTTAGGACCAAGCAGGGCATATAAGTCACTTCATGGTTCGGCCCCTTCCTTCTTCTCTGTTGCCTAACAATTTTAACTTCACCAATATTAAACTAATTGCAGTTTTCTAAACCTATCCTACCATTTTACCCTTTGATGATTTTCTACCTGCCTTTTTCTTTGTTGAGAATTTCCTTACTTTCTATCTATCTTAGGCTGACAAACTGATTGATTCTCCAAAATGTAGCTCAAGTATTACCTCATTTCTGAGGATCATTCTTTCATCCCTTCAAGTTCCTTCCTATGTGTCATCATTAACTTTCTATGTGTGGTTTTAATGTACTTCAAGTAATGTCTTATACTTATTTTCTCGTGGCTATTGTTCCCTTTCAGACTTGATAAGTCCTCAAGGAGAGAATCTATGTCTTTTTAAAAAATCTTGATATTTCCTTACAGAGGTCCTGGCACAAAATAGATACCCAATATGTGCACAACTGAATAGAAATTTATGAGGGAGTGATCACTATCCATGTCTTCCTTTCAGCTAGGGCTGTGTCCCATGACAAAAGTTTTTTGGATGATGATCATTTGTCTTGTCATTTTTTAGTTCAACAGCAAGTGCCAGGGGAAGATCAAGGAAAAACTGTCTGCATCTTGATTCCAGATTTTAAAAGCTCTGTAACCCTCACTCCGATGGTTGTGCTTGCAGAAGAGAAAACATTACCACTGGGACTAAAAAACAAAATCCTTTCACAAATGTAACTGAGTTTGTTTGCATGCTCTGGAATATAAATGTTTGAAAATCTGCAATGGCAATGAAATAAGGGATCAAGTTCTACAGGCAAAAAGCCATAGAACCAATATTCCAAAAATGGCTCATTAATTTCTTTTTTTACCCACCAACTGCACAGCTTGAGAATATATTTTAAAAATCTGATCTTGTTTTAAACTATTAAAATATTTTCCAGTGTCTAAATAGCAGCCAGTTCTTATATTATTCATGATTGCAGCCTGTCATTGTGACCAGTTTTTTCCACTACTTAATTGACTGTAGTATCATTTCCATTTTGCTACTGCCCAATAGTACTGAAAAATGTAAGCTATAAAACTATACTCATCAAGAAATATTAATGGAGGAGGATGTCCATATCCTTTCACAATGCTTAAAAGCTTAAGCTGTAATAATAAAAAGTTGGCATGTATTTCCTGAAAAAATC